ACCCTGCCCCCAGACTATATAAGGCAGACAGGGACCCCCTCAAAACACAGGCAATATCAGATCATAGCCAATACAATCCAACAGGCCACAGGAGTAGGGTATTACGTCGCGCTGACGGCCCGAACCTGTCTAACTCTTGTGTCTCTGTTGCCTTCTTGTTCTCGATTACACGCATCTCTGCCGATCAATCTACCTTCATGGGATACCCCTCGGAGTACTGCCGACGATATTCTGTGGACAGTTGGTGTGCCAGGTAGGGGTGTGCGTGTTGTTTTCATGTCGAACAAGATGGTATGTTTTGCAGGCTCTTCGTCCTTCCCATAGCCTGGCTAGATCTTTACGGTCGGATTGATCTCCTGGATGATCAATGCTGACGGAGATGGAGAGATCATCGAGCCGGTGCAGATCGATTTTGCGCCGACCACCCCAACACCTGCGACTGTAGATCCGATCTTGGAACCGTCTCCGAGGTTGTCTTCATCAACAATTCTCCGCCCGCTCTCCCGCTACCCGAGGAAGCAGATTAGCAATGATGATCTGATCGCATCCATCGATCAGGTTGGTCAGAAGCTCGCTGACTGTCTCTCCATCGCGGAATCGGCTCTAACTACTCTGGTTCAGCGCCGACCACTCTCCAAATCTGATCCATCGGAGGCCGATATGGAAGCACCAGGGGTTACGGCCCTACCCTTTGGGCTCACCAGCATCGCCGCCACCTATCAAGATGCCCTAAGGGGCAAATTTGCCTACCAGGCGGGAGACATCTACCCTCTCGCCGACCCGATCGCTAAGCAGCTCTCGCCGACTGTCAACATGCTCCAAATCAGTCGACATCCCAAAGCATCCCTCCAAACCATCCTGGAGGAGAATCCAGACTCCGAGTCCTAGGGCTCTACGGAGACTATCACCGAAACCGCCACCGTCCAATCTCCTTTCCCACCTTTCTGAGGAGGTGGGATTTTTAATGTCAGCGTCGACAGCCCTCCACAGGATGGAGAAACCGACGAGGACCGCGCCGCTCGTGTCAACAGGAACGCCAACCGTGTGCAGCGCCAAGCGAATGAGGTTGCCCTTGTGCTAGCCAAGGCTGCTCGCAACGAACAGCTCGACTCACAAGGAAGGCCACCCCCACTCCGCCACAACCTCGACGATGAGTTCATCTGTGTCGACGGCCACGATGTCTAAGCGCCAACTTGGCGATGGCCACTAACGAGCTCGCTCGGCTCGAGCAAACACCAGAGGTCGCCAAGGTCGCCACTATGCTTAAAGCGGCGCACTGCTAGGTCAACGAGATCCGCCAGGATTAGAGATCTTCTTACTCGACAAGCTCGATTCGCCAATCCACCACACCAAGATCTAATCGCTGCCCCAGTAGAAGCCATTTCACCGACCAGCATCGTGTTGGTGGACAACCCCTCCAGGGGGAAGCTGGGGGGAACCGTATTGACTACCCTCGCCAACACGACCAAGAAGTCTATCAAGACGTCTGAGCGCACATCAACAATCTTCGGGACGCACGACGTCGTATTGATGGGCGCCGTTTCTCTCGCCATGAAGAAGAAGTACGCCGACGTCAAAAATACGAGCAAGAGTTCGGTAATCCAGATAGAGCCCTCTAGCCACTCAATGCCGGCAACACCGCCGATCATGATGATGACGATCCCGAAGGGCCCCGAGCATTCACAAGGGCACTCCGAACACTCCAGTGGCCCCATGGTTTCAAAATCACCGGGGTCGAACCCTACGAGGGACAAATGAACCCCACACAGTGGCTACAAGCTTATGCCACCGCCGTGCGCGCCGCCGGGGGAGATACCAGCGTGATGGCGAACTATCTTCCCATCATGCTCATGCCAACCGTGATGAATTGGCTCACGAGCCTCGCCCTAGATTCCATCGGATCCTAGGAATAGCTGAAGAAGGTCTTCACCGACAACTACATGCCTACGTGTACTCGGCCGGGCACCAAGCACGATCTGAACCGCATCTATCAGAAATTGTTCGAGCTCCTCCGTAGCTACATCAGACGCTTTTCTGAGATGAGGAATTATATTCCGAACATCATGGAAGCAGAAGTCATCACTGCCTTCGTCCGAGGACTCCATCACCGCGACCTCTGCTCCAAGTTCAATCGTAAGCCACCAAAGGGGATTGGCGAGATGATCACGACTGAAGATCAGTATGACGACGCCGATGAGGTCGAAGTACGTTTCAATGAGGATGCGGGCACTCACCGCCCAACTCGCCGCAACGACAAGCGCCCCGACGACCGACTCCATGGTGTCCGCCGCTACGACGACCGCGGCCACCGTTAGGACAGTGGCCGTGATCGGCCAGAAGGATCTAGAGCCGGTCAATATCGCCGCCGCCGACCAGACCACATCGTCGCCGTTGTGACGAACCTCGCACCAAGCATAGCTACGACGAGCAGTACAAGAAGATCCTCGAAGGCCCGTGCCCCCTACACAAGAACAACAAGCACAAAGATGAAGGACTGCCTCGTCTTGGCTAAGGAGTTCTAGGCCAAAAAGTCAGACGATGACAATAATGATGGAGCCAGAGGCCGCCGACCAACAGGGGACAACAACAATGCCTTCTAGGATCACAACAAAGTGGTTGACACCATCTTTGGGGGCCTTGCCGCCGTAGAGAGCAGGAGAGATCGGAAGCTCACCGCTCGCCAGTTGCTCGCCGTCAACGTAGAAGACGCCATCGCCAGCCCCAGCTATCGAACCTAGTCCGAGGTCCCCATCAGCTTCAGCAGGGCCGACCAGTGGGTGGACATCCCTTATATAGGGTGTTTCCCCTCGTTCTTGATGCAACCATCAAGAAAGTGCTTTTTAGGAAAGTACTCGTCGATGGCGGAAGTGCTTTGAACCTCCTCTTCGTTGGAGCCCTAACGGAGCTGGGCCTTGAAATAGAAGACCTCACACCCTCTGACTCCTCCTTCTGGGGAGTGGTACCTAGTAGGGCATCCAAACCGCTCGGAGAGATCACCCTCCCGGTACAATTTGGCATGGCTAGCAACTACCGCGTCAAGCACATCAACTTCTACGTCGCTGACTTCAACACCGCCTATCACGCCATACTTGGTCGGCCAGCTCTGGCCAAGTTCATGGCCATACCCCACTACGCCTATCTGGTTTTGAAGATGCCTTCGCCTGTAGGAGTTTTGGCCCTATAGGCCAACCTCTCCATCGCCTATGCCTGCGAGATAGAGAGCCTCGCCCTCGCCGAAGCCACCGACCTCTCCATCCAGATGGCTAGCGTGGTCACCAACGCCCAAATGGTACCTGCCGATGACCTGGAGATCCCAGCACTGGAGCCTCCATGGGCCTCCGCCAAGTCCAAGGAAAAGAAGGAGGTCACCCTCGGCCTCGATGACCCCTCCAAGACCATCAAGATTGGGGCTCACCTCAACCCCAAATAGCAAAGCGCGCTCGTCTCCTTCCTACGTGCCAACGGTGATGTGTTTGCTTGGAAACCTGCAGACATGCCGGGGGTACCACGGGAGAAGATCGAGCACTCCTTGAATGTCTCGCCGACCGCCAAACAAATCAAGCAGAAACTCCGACAATTTGCGCCAGACAAGAAGGAGGCTATTAGGGTAGAAAAAAAACGGCTCATAGCTGCCAGATTTATTAAAGAAGTGTATCATCCTGAGTGGTTATCAAACCCTATTATTGTTCAAAAAAAGAATAAAGAATGGAGAATATGCGTTGATTACACTGATCTCAACAAACACTGCCCTAAAGACCCCTTTGGTCTGCCTCGGATAGACGAGGTTCACCATCGGTTGTGAACTGCTCTCCTTCCTCGACTGTTACTCCGGTTATTACCAAATATCTCTCAAAGAGGAGGACCAGATCAAGACGTCGTTCATCATGCCTTTTGGTGCGTATTGCTATACCACCATGTCCTTCGGACTCAAGAACGCCGGGCGACCTACCAAAGGGCCATCTAAATGTGCCTTGATCAACAGATAGGCCGCAACATCGAAGCTTAGATCGACAATGTGGTTGTCAAATCCAAAACCATCGACAATCTTATCGCCGACCTCGAAGAAACGTTCGCCAACCCGAAAAGATTCCAATGGAAGTTGAACCCTTCAAAGTGCATCTTTGGAGTTCCATCTGGCATACTCCTTGGCTACATCGTCAGCGCCCGCGGTATCGATCCCAACCCCGACAAGGTCTCCGCCATCACCAACATGAAACAGCCAACCTGCGTAAAGGATATATAAAAGCTCATAGGGTGCATGGCTGCTCGACAGATTGTGTATGCTTAACATCAAATCGGCTATGATCCTCTAATATATAGAGAGGGGGATGGTCTTATCCTAGTAGGAAAACTTTCCATGTTGCCTACTAGTTTCCATGAGATCATGGGAGTTTGGATCAAGTTCAAGATGAATTGGATTCAGACAGACAAAACCAACATGGGCCGGTTTGTACAGGGCCATGCGGGAAGGCTAGTTTGTACAAGGCCATACAGCCTAGGGCAATTTTAATTGGGTTTTGCCTATCTTGTCCAAATTTGATCATTTTTGTTTCACTACGTCAAATATCATTTCTAGGGGCGGCTACAGTGCATTTGTAGGGGCGGTTTGGCCAGCCGCCCCTACGCAAGGGTCTCTACAAATCATGCATTTGTAGGGGCGGTTCCCAGACCACCCCTACAAATCAATTTATAGGGGTGGCTACAGTACCAACCGCCCTACAAATCAACCGCCCCTACAAATCATTTTTCTACCAAAAAAAATTAAATTTACAATTCAAATTGGACCAGAACATATATTTTTCCTTTTTGATATCATAGTGCTTAGCATACAGTTGGTATGATATTCCAGGAAGTATCACAATATAAACTTTGGTGATATTCATGGATTATAGAACAAGTGAACACAATAAATTTACAGAACAAGTGAACACACAATATAAACTTTGATGTTATAATTAACACTTCGTAGGAACATATGTAATCCCTGGCTCCTATACTTACTATTGTTGTTGCTGCTGTGGTGGTGGAGCTTGAAACCTTTGTGGTTGCCGCTCAAACTCTTGCTGTTGAAGTGCTATAGCTAGCTCTAGATCAGAGCTGCAAGCATAGGAGGGCCAATGTGGTAGCGTTAGAATTTAGATAACACATGCAAAGTGACTCAGGAGTGCACATCCATGATGATTCAAAGACGTTGAGCACATTCAAAATCACATAAAGGCATATATTGGTGTTCAAGTACATGCTAAGCTGTCAGTCCAATACACAATGACAAAAAAACCATCAAATAGTCAAAGTTCAAGAAAGTTATTGCGCTTGGTTAACAGCAACAATCAACAGATCAGAAAAGAAACTATAGCTTCAACTAGCATATCATTTATAGCCCTATTGACAGACATTTTCTACACTGTACCATTCATACAAGATTCACATGGTTGCTGAAATCCAAACTAGGAATGTTGTACACACACAACAATAAAGCACATTGAGAAAAATAGGTAGGAAGAACATACTTTCCAGAAGTGTTGTCAAATTGAGCAAGGTAATCCTGTGAACAAAGATAAATTTGAACTAGTTAGCATTAATGTACCTAATAAAAACTACAGCAGTTTATTGATGTTATACATACAGCAGTACTCGTCATAGCTTGCTGTTCATTCCATGAATCATTTCTTGGAGTTTCAGCCTTAAAGGGTGTGAATTTGCTGGTAAGAAAAACCCCATCTCCATTCACCTAATGATTGTCAGTTGAGAATGAAAAAGATCAGTAAAGATTTTGATCTCAAGCGAGAATTAAAATAATCACAGGAGTTAACATACCTCATCCAACCTTTGCCATACCAAATCAGTTTGGCTTATAAAACCTTGATCAGTTGCTAGGAGATATAGACTTCCGTTGTACTGCAGAATAAATATACATAAGAAATAAAGACAGCTCCAGTTCAAGTACTCAAATTACGGAAGAAGACACAAAGCTCACTTTCGTTAAGTCCCTCTTGTAAACAGAAGAGACTGCGACAATGAAATTTGACAATGTGATAAATGAGAATACAATTGAGAACATGTATTTAAACCATAGATTATTAGAAATATACCCATAGACAGTCAGCTGGTTAGCAGTGGTCTGCAGAAAATTATCAATCAGCTCCCCTAAAAATAAATCAATTTAAGTGTGAAGACAAATATAGTAATTCTTGCATTGTACAAAGAGATTCACGCATGTACAAAAGTCAATAACAAAAAAAAATCTCACATTGATGTTCTGTGGCCTTGTCATCCACGGAAGGGCTGCTTTCCCCAGTCTTGTCAGCCTGCTCAGCAAGAACCACCTCCCCCTCATACACTGGCTCTTGATTTTCATACACCATATTTGTGGTGCCAAGTACGTGCTCTTCACCTTGGTATATTGGTTCACATTCATGAATGCTTGAAGGTAGAGGCTCAGATTTATCTAAAAAATCACTTTTCACATCCAGTTGTGTTGTAGCATGACCTGGAACAGCTCCACAAGTTGCAACTGATCATAACCATAACAAATAACTATCAAAGCAGCAACTTGTGTTTCATCTAGTTTGATAAGTACTGACACTTACAAGTAAACAAGCAATCTAAGCAAGAACAAGTAATCCCATCTCGAGAAAAAGGGCAAACAAAACAATTGGTATGGCTGCGAGCTACTACTAGGCAAGAACAAGAACATGCCGAGTTGCTCATCACTTGGGGTCATGGATCTTAAAAAATAAATTCGGGACATTAAATTCGAGCTGAATCCCCCAAAACTTCTGGAAAACAAACCGCATCGGCAGCTTGGCTAGATCGATCTTGCCTAGCGCCCATGGCAGAAAGCGAAGAAGCTAGAAGAGGTACGGTGGAGAGATTAAGAGCTAGCAACAGCGAAGACACTCTCGCACTTCCGCACTCCATGACAAACAAATCCAAAGGGAGACAGATTTGATCTGATCAGAGCTTTACCACGGCAAAGAAATGCCCCCAAGAACAACTCGAGCTCCTAGATTGAATCAACCGAACAAGGAAGCTAGGTTCACTTACCACCAGCGGGAGAAGAAACGGATCCGAGTCCGGGCACTGAGAGGATTAGGGTTCCGATGGGGAGGCGCTGAGTTGCGTCAGCGTGAGAAGGGATGGGAGGAGGAGATACCGGATCTACGGGTATGGTTCAAGCAATCAACGATTTACCTCGAGCGATGCGCAGATCATCTGTGCAAGGGGCGACAAGACACAGGCGGTGGGCGGTGGCTGGCGGCGGAGAGCGCAGCTCGGCTCAGATCCAGACCCTCCGTCTCTTCCCGTTCCGCCCTCGCTCTCTCTCTCTCCGGGCGGAAAGAGTTGACCTCGCTTCATTGTTGTGGAAGCGGAGGTGGGGAGGAAGCGGTCCACAACGAGGATGGGAGGAGGCGGGTCAGGGCAGAGGCTAGCGACTCAGGCAAAGAGGGGAGGAGCCGAGTAAGGAAATGGTGCGATGGGGGGAGGAGGAGGTGGAGAAAGGCGGCCAGCCCGCCCCGCCCGCCAGCCCAGCCCCGCCCGCCTGTCAAGGTCGAGGGGAGAGAGGGAGCGAAGAGGAGAGAGAGAGAGAGAGAGAGAGAGAGAGAGAGAGAGAGAGAGGAGGGTGATAGAATTTTCTGGCCGATATATATACAATGGCATTTGTAGGGGCGGTTGGTGATTCAGCCGCCCCTACAAATAGAAACGTCGGGGGCGGCTGGTGAGTGAGCCGCCCCTACAAATCAGACCCATTTGTAGGGGTGGCTTGTATCACCAGCCGCCCCTGCTATTCCATTTGTAGGGGCGGCTGGTGTCTGGGCTCCCAAGCACGCCACTATAGGGGCGGCTCCATCACCAGCCGCCCCTACAAAAAAATCGTACCGTTGCTAAAAATCGTTTTTTACGTAGTGTTTGTATTTGATTCGCAAGTCCTAATGCAACATCCTTTGACCTTTTTGGCCGTCAACATATGCCCCTGTTTTTAAAAGCGAAGGACATTGGAGTTTTCAAAACACATGATAGCAATAGCAACAATGCCAAGCCATCAGTTATTTTGTGCTAAGGGTGATGCATGCAACAACCACATTTGTTCTAAGGACAATATTATATATCAACCATTGTATTACTAAGCTAGAACACGCAGTCACTGCCGGTCGTGCTTGACCCGACTATGATTACTTATCACTGCCGGGTCGTAAGCCTAGGATCCTGAAACTTAGCGTCACTGCTGGCTCAATCCACCACCGAAGAGAGGCTTCTTGAAGTAAGCTGTCACCATCTTCCCCATGCTTATTCCAAACCATAGTTTTCCATGAACCCCCTAACCAGCAGATGACAATAGATTGGCTCGATGTATTGAAATTATTTCTGATTTTTTGCAACCGACACATGTGCAGTATATGAAATTATGTATCCATCATTCGGTACATTATTTGTGTTGCACGCCATGGTGGCCTCCACAAAAGACTTGGTGCCTTCTACGAATCAAGTAGACATGGGCTCCAACCATTACATCCATCCAGTGATCCATATGTGAATAACAGGATGAGTACAATGACCTAAAGATAGCAGATATGGCCTCTTTCACTCCCTTCTCCGTGATCCTCCTACAAGGCACGCAATCGAGGGACAAGAATGTTGAGCCGGTGAGCAGCCAAGCACGGGGCGCAATCGAGCCATCTCGTCCACTCCGTTGCCCTCCCCGATCGAAATCTGCTAGGGGTCCAGAAGAATATAGAGGTCTCGATCGAGCAACACTCTAAATGAGATCTAAATTATGCATTAGAGTAAACCAATAGTAGTAATGTGAACTATAATGTATTGTTCAAAAAGTACGATGATATAGACTGATCGCCGATGGAAGATGAATAATTGATTAGAACTGGACATCAAGTATCCGTCTCCTTGATTAGTCATTCACGAGAGCCAAGAAGCACGATGCATGAAGGCTGAAAGAATCGACAACCAAACTAGGCTACATTGTTTGAGCCTTTTTGGCTACACAGATGCTTAACACAAAGCTTGCTACATAATATATACTTAGGGTATTTATATTAGCTCGACGTGGTTCTTGAATTTTGTTGGGGTCCGTTGACTCCTACAAAATTCAGAAAATCTTAATTTAGTAAATTATTATTTGATTCAAGGTTCACTGTACAATATATTTTAGCTGGCTGATATGATATTTAAGGCTGGCCTTTCCCTGCCAAGGATTTTACAACTATAATAAGTAACGACATATTGGAAATGGATGCAACAGGACAGGGGGCGGCCGGTCGCTGTGGAGGGAGGGTGTCTGGGAGTAGTGCATAATGGCGGACAAGAGGAAGAAGCTAACCGTAGTGGAATATGTTGCGTACTGTTTCCATTCTAAAAGAAATCAATTTCTAATATTGTTCTAAGTCAACTGTTTTAAATTTGATAGAATATACTGAAAAGAGCACTAATATCTATTAAATTAGTATTACTAGATATATATGAAATATATTTTCATAATATACTTATTTTCTATCATAGAGATGATTTTATTCTTTTTATAAAGTTAGTCAAACATAAGAAAGTTTAACTAAGTACAGTTCTAGAAGTTTTGTTTCATGAAAGAGGGTGAAATAGTGAAGCCCTATGCACAGGATCCCTTTTTTTCTTTTTTTTTGTAAAAAGTTATCTCCGACATAAATGGGCTTGTGGCAGCAGTTCTTGTTAATTATGTTCTAGGCTGGATTGTACCAGTTGGAGTTACGGTTGTAAGTGATATAAACTACTCTTTGAATTTCATTGGTATATACTATTGAATAACCATGTGAACATGCATGGTGTAGGCGTCTCAACTTAATCACTCCAAAGAGGTTAGATATAGTGGCCAAATGATGGACAAGTTATTTTTTCATTTCACAAACAGACATGACTACAGCATCTTCATATAAGAACCTTACAAGACTGCTACTGTTGCTACAACAGTTGGACCTTTTATTAATTTAATAATAACAAAAGTGTAACAAAGGGACAAAGAAAACAAATAACTTTACGACTTCCAACAAAGAAGGACTACGATGGGCTCCAACTTTAGATTGGCTTATATGGAATTTATGGGTAGGCATTGCCATATCCAGTTCCGGCACCAGAACCACCGCCACGGCCACCATTTTGACTATTTCCTGTGCCACCACCATTGCCACTAGCACTTGCACCTGCTTCACTTGATCCATACCAATACCTGTTAGCATAGCTAGAGCCAGAACCAGTGCCACTACCGGATCCTTGAGCATTGGAATTCCAAGCACCTCCGGCTTGTCCTCCACCCCCACCCCCACCGGCACCACCAGCATTAGAAGACTCTCCATAGCCAGAATACCCTCCTTGACTATATGTACTAGACCCAGAACCTGACCCTGACCCTGAACCATATCCAGATCCACCGTATTGGCTAGTGCCACCACCTCCACCACCCCCTCCAGCACTTGCATGGGTACCATAAGGACCACTATCACCTGATCCCGTGCCAGACCCGGACCCTGATCCCCCACCATTCACATATCCGCCACCCCCTCCCTGTCCTGTGCCAGTCCCATCAGCACTAGAGTATCTAGCCACCCTAACAGCATTGGCTAATCCTATGCTCATGAGGACAATGAGCCCCAGTGATACTAGCTTTGTGCCTGCCATTGTGAGCTAACACTATGGAGTGCTTGAGTTGAGATGGGTTCCTGGTGAATGCTGCTTGGGTTTTTATAGTGCTTGAGGCCATGCAGTGGTTCTTTACCTTCATAGCATGCACGTATGGTAGTGGTGTTTCAATAGGAAACCAAGTGGAGGCTTTTAAAATCCACTGGAATTAATGGAGCTTCTTGACTTGACCATAAATTTCATGCAAGTAGCAAGGTGATGGATGGCACTTGTTTGGGTCTCATCTCCATAGATAATATAATATAATGGATGGCACAAAGTTTTAGCATTCATCGGTGTTTGGAAGGCCCATTGAAACTAAAGCTGCTTGTTGCTACGGTTTAAGTTGTTCACTTGTTTGTATTCTTCGTCTCGATATACAGTGAAGTTATCCTTGGAGTCATTGTCGATTTTTGGACCTGCACTGATACTAAATGTGTGAAATATTTTATTGACTGTACTGCTTTGTCTCATATATATATACCTGAGAACAAAAGGTTGAGGGTCATAGTTTCACAAGGATTATGGGCCCTTACTTGAACATATAAACTTTTTCTTGGCTTTTGCTTGGCATAAATTGTTTCCGTTGAAATACTTGCAAAAAACATGCATGCATACTGCAATATTATACTCTCATGCATGCTCATGACTCTATTTGACCATTCTCTCCATCACTGTGAAACATGCACAACTAGCTTGTGACACGAAAATCAAAAGATCACGAGATCACACATATAAATGTAACCTAGGGGTTTATATATCTTTTTGTTATCAGGCTATAGCATTATACTAACATTAAAACTAGTAAATGTCGACCTGCATGCATGAAGTCTCAACGGGCACGTTTGAAGATCAACACAGGCATCCCCTGATCACCCGAACGATTCTATTCCTCATGCAGTGGTTGACGTTGCAGAGGTGGCGTCGAGATTTTCGCAATGACTTTGACAAATTCAGTCATGGACTTAAGAACTACTCCTATGTGTACCTGCAAATCTCGATAAGAAAGACAGCTCACAAGGTTAATCAGAGTACAATGGGAGCTGTGTAAGTAGCGAACCAATCCTTGAAGTCTTGAACCCTAAGCGTCATTCAGTTGCAGTAGTTTGATAAGAGTGGACGAAAGTCGGGCTGATATTGTCTGACAGTGGCCAGATAACATTGTGAACAAAATTCTTGCACAGCCATACTAGCTATTCTGCTATGTAACAATACTGACTTAAGGAAACATACTCGCAAAAAGAAATTGTAAGGAAACATTAAAACCGTCTCTTCCTTCGAACGTGAGGATTGATCTGCTATTTATTTTTTCCACGAATGACATGTCAGTTGCCTAACTACACTGTGAAGCAAAAGGGCCCATAGCCTAGTGGTAACAAGAGCCTCAGTAACACATTAGCTCCTTGGTTCGACTCCCCATGGTAGCGAATATTCCAGGATTTAATGGCGTTTGTGCTTTAAGTGTAGGTGACGTTCCCGTCGACTGCGGAGCCAGCCCTTAGCTAACGGGTGAGGCAGAGCCAGCCCTCCGACGTCGGGCGAGGCGGAGCCAGCCCTCAGTCGCCGGGAGAGGCAGAGTCTACCCCCAGACCTCGGGCGAGGCGGACTTCAGCCCTCGGGGGTCGGGTGAGACGGAGCCAACCCTTAGGGGCCGGGCGAGGCGTGGCCAACCTCCGGTCGTATGGACAAGAAGTGCA